CTTTCTCTGCCAGGTATTCTACTTCTAGTTGGTGTTACATACTAATTAGGTCGAAAGACATAAGTAGCCTACAGCAAAACAGAGGACTTGGGATAATAATAATTTAATGAGTTCAAAGTTTATTTTTGCACGTTTTAAACATTATGCCACGAAATTTCCGGATGATAAATGCTCGCATCCCAATTGATTAGATTTTTGTTTTGGCAATCTTTTTGTAATGAAATTATCTATTCATAAATCATATAATACAGTAAACAGTTTTAAACTACGTATCGAGCATTTAGAGCATTCTAAATGTAAAGACAGAAAACAATTACCCAGGTTATTTTGTCAGGTATACTGAATGTGTTCGTTATCGGTACTGTTATTCAGTTCAGAAGAGAAATAATTTTTATCACTAAACTGAGAATGATATATTCACAATAGAATATAAATATTATCAGAAGAGGTTTTATGGAGATTTTAGTAATTTTATAGTTGAATGACTGATTTATTTGAAACTAGACTGCTATAGAAAACCTATAAGCACTGAACATACGTTTTGTTCTTGTATGAGACTCTTCAACAGTGCGCATCCACGATATGAAATATGAGTTGTAAATTATTTTGACTTGTTAATAGGTAAACAAAATAATAATCGAATGACCAATGATCAATACATATAGGTTATATTGACAACTTTAATTTCTAATAATAGGTAAATTGATTCAGTTGATCATTGGTCATTCGATTATTATTTTGTTGACCTATACGATTTATTAATGGTACCGAAAAAAATCGATTGTCATATTTCATTGATGTAGACACAATTTTATTCGTTAACAAGATAAACTAATAAGAATCAAAAATTTAAAAATTAAAGGCACAGAACTTGCGAAAATCCATCTAGTAAATCAGCAATCACGACTTGAATAGAACATAAGGGTTGTTTTGTTTTGTTTTTAAATATTTTTAATTAGAGTCGAGAAGTGCCAAGCAGCAAAATAAAAAAAGAAAGAAAAAACAACCAATTTTTATCCTATTAGGAAAATGGCAGTTAGATTTACTTGGATCATAGTGTTAATGTTTACATATCAATTGTTATCCAATGTTTTTCGCTCTAATGAACAACTCGTTTCTCGTAAAAAAAAGAAAGAGAAAAGATATATAGTGTGAATTGAATACAATAAAGTTTGTTTTTAGTAATATATATTGTTTGACAGAAAATTTAAAGTCTTAGAAAACTTTGCTTTTTCTTAAAGTCTATTTATTTATATGCTACATGTAAACTAACACAAAGTGTCTACTTGAAAAGAAAAAAAAATATTTTTCATGTTTTTATTCATAATAACAACAAAAAGAAAATGCACAACGACAACAACAACGACTTACGTGTGTATCATTCTGAACATTTTGAAATTTAACAACCAAAAAAACAGAAAAGAAATATGAAGACGACGTCAAACATCACGAGGTTTATAACGTTATAAGGCATGTGATTAATAAACTCCCCCCTCTCAAACGAATATTGTATGTGAGCTTGTAAGTAGAGACACTATTTTTTTTCATTTTTGAAAAAAATTTACTAATAATAATTAAAAACACAAAACATGGATTTTTACCAATTTTCGTTGGAACCGAAGAAAATCATTTCATA